TGATCCTCATGTCTTCAAGTACTTCCCCTACTGTTCTAATGCTTTTATTGTACCTTATATAAAGAAGGGAAATATCTTTTTCAGCAGTCAGTGACAGAGGCAGAAGCTGCACTGACATTAACTTGAGTAAGGATGGCAGAGCTGTCACACCACAACAGGATTTTTTGATTGTTCTGGCTTGTAAGATGGCTGGGTGTTAAACACAGAAAACCCACTGTTAAGTCCAAAGAACTATTTCCAGGTGGATTATATAAAAGGCTAATCTTACCCAAGAGGCCCAGGAAAACCTCTGTGTTTATTCAGGAACTAGTTCAGAGCCTTCAAGGAGCTTTTGACAGCAGCAGGTGTGTCCATGTGGTATCAGCTGATTGCAGAAAAGAGAGAGATGTTGTGGAATAAATGCTCCTGCTGCTCCCTTTCTGTTCTGTGCTGGCCCTTGGGAAAAGAGGAGGAAAGCGTACTTGTATTCTATTGAGCGTGGAAGGAGTCAAAGTGATTGCAGTATGGTGGGGGAGTTTATGATGAATATCGGATTCTTTACCACAAATTTCAGATTCCTGTTCACATCAAACTTTTTAAAAATATTTTTTTTTTCCTTACTGTTATATCTCTTAGCAGCCTTGGCTTTCCAGGGAAAAACATTGTGTGGTCATTGCTGTTTACCTTACATGTTTCTCCATGTATGGAACTATACTATAATTTTAGTGTCTTTTTTCCAAACCATTTGTACACAAAATCATTCCATGAATGGCTGCCTTATAATTTTCCACTTAAATTGTGAATGGTTAAAATAATGCCGTTTTCAATTTGTTTTATTATATTAAATTTTTACTAGGTGCAGTGTTTTGGAGTCGGCTTGTCATTTATTGCATGGGATTTTGTGACAGCTCTAAGGGAAAGAATGAATTTTAAATGGGATGCAAGCATTGCAGACAGCATTTTATTTTCATGAGAATTTGTTTGCTGCTTTTCTTCATGATGTCTGAGCACCTCTTGCAAACCTGGAATGTGACATTGCATGTTGGGAGGCAGTGTAGCCGGTGGATTTGGATATGGCTCTGAATGTGTTCAGAGGTATTAATGCAGAGATGATGTGACAGCTCTGCTTGAGTTGGGCATTTGGCAACTTGCGTCTCTCTCTCGATGTGTTTCGGGGCTGGCATTGCCCTGAAGCTATCTCCTCCTGCACCTCCAGGGAAATCTCTGGAGCGTACAAGGCTGAGACATCTTTGGAGGGTAACAAAGAGATGATGGGTTTAAGGTTGCTCCAGACCACTGCTAAAAGGCTTGTTAAAATTCCAAAGGACCCTTTGGAGGTAAAGCAAAAAAGGTAATCTTTTTTCCATCCTGTGCTCTCAAACTCGTCAGTCCCAAACCAAAAACGCGGACACTAAGTCTGGCTCCATCCCCTTTGCACCCTTCTCTCAAGTATTTGTATACATTGATGAGATTCCTCTTAGAGCTGCTGAGTTTGGCATAGTGTATAAATGTTCTCCATACTTTCCAGCTGCCCGCTAAGCAGGACTGGGATTTAGACTTGCATTTTCAGAGAAGAGAAAGGGGAATGGTACTGTTATAAGATGAGTGATGAATGCATTTACAAACTTCATGCATCCCTTTAAGAGGTAGCACTTGATGGAGATGATTTATAAACAGTTTATTTAAAAAATGGATTTACGTTTTTCTGCTGTGCTTGCTGTCTACAGACTTGCCTAAGATCCTGTCACACACTGTTTTAGCTCTTTCACTCAAGCAATAAGCAATCCTCTCAGCTGGTTGCTTGCTTTTGATTTTTCTGATAGTTCATAGGACTTGTGTAATAGGATAGTTTGTAGGACTTAAGAAAGTGTGATCTCTTTATACTGGCTTAAGCACAATAGAATATGATTCATGTAAAGTCAGTAGGAGAACTGAAGCAAACGACAGAGGTGCTGCTAAAGCTGGTACAAGCAAATGTAAAGCAGTAAGAAGGGAAAGCCAGTATTTTTCCCAGGCAGGCTCATGGTTTTTTTGGCAAGTAAAACTCAGCTTTAATGATAAAGCATTATGCAGTACATTAGCATTCTTTTAGCGTATTTAGTAAATGTTACCTCAGTAACTGGAGATTTAATCACTGTAGTCTGTGGTAAATCCTTTTGGAGATGTGAGGAAGTGCTTTGGGTGCATTTATGTTACAAACTTAAATTTAGGAGCTGTGGTGTTGCAGGCTTCCTGGTGATTGCTGTAGAGTGTTCCTTCATTTGTTAAGGAAATAAAAATGTACATCAGCATTTTTATGAGCGACTCATTAGGGATGAGCACGGCACCAAGATGATGAGCTGTCATCTATTGTTCCAGCTGACAAATTAAGCCATTCTTCTACTGATACTTGCAAGCCTTATCCAAGTATCCCTGCAGGCAGAATAGCAATAGCACAACATTCCACCCTCCTTATCACAGCACTTCTCCCTCTTGTCTGTGATGTTGAGAGATTAACAAACTGTTATTGTGGATGGGGGTTAAAGAAAAATGCCTTGTTCAGAAAAACTTGTAGGCCTAATAGAAATTAAGCTGTGTCATGCTGACTGACACCAAATCTACATAGTATTTGGAAAATCTAAAAGCAGAATAAAATTATTACAGGGGAAGTGCTTATTCTGTATCTGTGTGCCCAGCCAGTATCTGAGATAGCAGTTAACTTATGATCTATGATTATAGTTATGTTGGGGTCTGTGGAGTTTAATGGGTTTCTGCTGTCTGAAGGAAGGAGCACTTTCAGTGAGATACTCCTGGTTACGCAGGGTTGAAGAGGCCTGCTAAAAGCCCTGCTTACGAGCCTTACTAGTACTCCAGGTGAGTCTTACTATTGCACCTCTTACTCAAGCGTTTTGTGCCCTCAGAGGGTGATGCTATTTGTAGAATGAGTCAAGTTTTAAGATTGCAATGGATTTCCCATGTTCTGTTGTCTCTTTTTGACAGAAACTGAGAGGTGACTGATCTTGATCAAAACTTTGTACCTTGTGATATCTCCTCTGTGCAGACACTTCATGTGAAGGTGACTGAGTACAAGTGGATGACTAGGCAATGGATCTGGGAGCTTTTCCATGTTTATCCCTACAATCTAAACTTCAGCATTATGAAAGATGCGTCATCTACAAAAGCTGTGTGGCAGCATGGCTCATGGGAGAATAAAAGGAGATGGCACTCTTAGTCTGCTGTATGTGGTAGAGAGCAAAGTCTTCGATGCCCTTCCTTGCCAGACATTTTATCTTTCATTTGGCTGCTGGCTCTCCTCATCATTGCAGGGTTTGTAATACAGCCGTCATGGTCTGCTGCTGTGATAGATGGCAGCAGTAGATCTTTGTGCCTCTGTACTTAGATAACCACTCGAAAATGTGGATAGAGAAGGGGCAAGAGGTGTCTTGTGCCTGCCCTGTGTATGTGTGCAGCAGGAATCCTGACCTTGCTGTGACTGGCTGGATGAGCAGGACCAGGAAAAAGGAACTTGAAGTCGTGGTGCTGCAACTAGAGCTGAGGGGTATTGCACAATGTATAGGGGAAAGGTGTGAAGAACACTGGTGGTGTGGTCCCTGCAGTTTCCACTCCTGAATGAAGTCCTAATTGTAGTGTCTGTACTTTTTAAGGCCTTGCCTTCAGTGATCACAGCAATGGTAGGTGTAAAGGAAGCACCGAATGCGCATGCAAGATAAATTGTGGTCTCTGTGTGCGTGTGCAGGGCATTTTACAAACTTAAGATTAAATAAAAACAGGGGTTGGTCAGTTCTGTTTTCCTGGATATGTATTTATTGTTTAAAAGTTAAATTTCCTGTGAATGTCCTTCTTTTGATCAAAGGGAACAAATTGGGTAGAAATTGGTGGACTGCAACCAATAATGAAACCTTTGCAGTTGAGAAACACCTTGTGGATCAAAATCCAGCAGCTAACCTGTTTTTAGAAACTTGAAGAATTCAGAGATATTAACTGGTGTTGAAACAGCTAAAGAGTATGTTTTCCCATAATGGGCAGCCCTGGATCTCATTTGCTCTTTGCTGGACTATTTTGTCAGACCTGAAACGGGCTGGTGGTTCTCTGGTTGTTGGCCTGTCTTAATACGTAGAGGTATTATATTTCCCCCTCCATTATTCTGCCAAAGATTCTTGCTTCAGTAAACTGGTATCTTATTTTCTGTCTTCCTCTAAGTCTCTCAAAGTGGTGCTATATCCACAGCAAATAGTTGGATTAGCTATGACTCCTGGGCCATCCAGCATGGATCGAGCATGTTTGAAGGCCTGGGACTGGTGAAGAGCTTTGGCTGGAACAGGTCACTGAGATCATGTAGTTCTTACCCAGGGTTGATGTTAAATCCCTTGGTGTTGATGTCTGATGGGGTTGCAAATCTACAGAAGCACTTGACTTTAATGCCATTTAACTTTTCTTTGAGTTCTGCAGAACAGGTCAGACTTTCCATCTGACACTGAAAATTTAATCATTGTGCAAAAGAAATATGCTGTGTTAGTGTATCTCACTAGGGGTGAGTGGATGGTAGCTGCTTTTCTACTTAAAATAGCCTCTGCACACAGCTGTGCACCAAGGAAGCTGCAGCATCACTTTGGGAAGTACATGTGACATTTTGTCTTTGCAAGAATGATGTATCATAAATGAAACTGGAGCTGGACTTCTCCACATTGTTTGGGTACCTGCTAATAACTCCCATAATTGCTAATGTTTCTCAGGGTTTAAAACGGCTATGGAACCTATCAGAAGCTGTAAAAGCAAAGGGATTCTGCCTTACTGGAAGGTAAGATCTGATTCTCTCCAACTCTGCAGCGGCTCTGATCCATTTCAACTTACTGGCTCCAGCCCAAGAAGCAGTTTGTTCTTTTCTGCATGACACAGTATTGTCAGGCTGTCCAGAACATGAAGGTGTAACTTTTCACTTAAAAAAAAAAACCAAAAAAAAAAAAAAAAAAACCCAAAAAAAAAAAACCCAAACCAAAACCAACCAAAAAAAAAAAAGAAAAAAAGCCTCCTCAGCAGCTGAAGTTAGCCAGTATGTGTCTCCTGAAACTGAAAGGGAGCATCTTTGAGCCGGAGGATGGCCTGTGATGAAGGCACATGGGGTAATTATTGGGCAGTTCTTGTGCGGGGTTAAGAGTTGGACTTGATGCTCCTTGTAGGTCCCTTCCAACTCAGGATATTCTGTTAAGAAGGGTTACTTCTGTATAGCTTGCACTGCTGTCTGCTGCAAACAATTTTTTAGCAAAATTTTATTGGCTTGATTTGTAGGAAAATAAAGACAACATATTAGTAAAATAATTGCCATACCAGTGCATCCTGTTGCTCCCAAGAAAGGTTTTCTGATTAAAGGTCCAGTGCTGTCTCTCAAGGATGTACAGAAGTGCTTCCCCTTCATTAGATTAGTACACACTTAAAGGAAATGTTAAAAGAGCCATGATTACTACAAATTACTGTGTTCAGATACCAGCAGTTAAAAATTCACCTTGCTGCTATCTGCTGCCCTAGACTTGCTGGTCTGTCACTTGTCAAAAGTGAGTTGCTCTTTTCTCTCCCCTGGCCTGCTGATTTTCAAGAACTTGCTGTAGCTACTCAGTGTCTTGCTTGTCTTACAGGCCTCCAGAGGAAAAAAATCTCACTTTTTGATGTTCAAGCTAGTCTGTACAAGTTTAGTCTGTATAAGTTAAAAATAAGAAAGAATGAAATATAAGTAAAGGGTGAAAACCTGTCTCCTCATGGCAAATCAATGCTGTCAGATCTTTGCACTGTCGGTGCAGTGCAGCAGCAGGGGCACTGGATCATCTTTATATGGGAGCTCTATGGCTTTTCACTGCACATTTATACAGTTAAGTGAGGCCGAAGGGCTCAGAATAATTTTTACCCTTTGTGCAGCATAATTTGAGGGAAATTTTTTTTTCCTGGTTATGAGTAATGTACAGAATGGCATCTATGGCATTAATGCTTCTCTTCTGCAATGCAGTATTATATTCAAGAGTTACAGCTCAGGTGAGATGGAGGCAGTATCTGCTGCTCTCATCTCCACCCTCTGCCTTAATGTCACTCTGTAATGGGACATATCCTGCTGCTTGGGGCATGTCCTGTCTGGGACCAAAAGATTGGTGAAAGTCAGGGTGAGAGAAAGTAACAAATCATGGAGTTTGCTGGCTCTCTCATCTATTGATCAACTGTGACTTTTATTCAGGGACCTGCATCTCTGTTTTCTCTAATACTGAATGCAGCCTGTGAGCCTGGGGCAGGCTGTCTGCATCTCTTCTCTTTAAGATGCTCCCCAAGTGCCTCTGACTGTATAAAGCTAAGTGAGCCCGTGTCCTGTGGTGTGACCTAGCCTGTAGCACATCCCAGGTTTCTGATCGGGGATCATGTGTCTGCACTGTGTTTCTTCTGAACAACTGCATTGGGAATGGCTGACATCCAACAATTACAGCATCAAAATCTATTCACAGATTTTGGGGATGGGGATGGCACAGGTTTAATCAGGAGCAGATACCTCGGCATATATGGCCTACATGCCATACAACATGTACATGTGTGTGTATTGGTTATAGGATATCCCAAAACTTCAGATGCTTTAGCAGCTGGGATTCTTCCCTAAATTCTAATCCTGGAGGGGAGGCAGGATGCAGTAAAGAATGATATGAGATAATAACTGTGGGCATTGCAAAAAAACAGGTTATTTTGGAGAACTGTGTATCTGTACAGGGAGAAGAGGTTTCAAGAGAGAAAGGACATAGGGAACCAGATTTAAAAGCTTGCTGTGGGAGTACTAAGCAGGAGATGAACATGGACCTGAGCTGTGTGACACATTCCTATGTGTCTGTGTTGGGGCCAAGAAGGAGCTGGTACCTAAGAGGCAGAGCAGAGGCTGTTCTTGCAACCTCTCCAAGATGCAGTAAAGCATGAAGGCAGGCAGAATTTTATGCTCTAACTTTGATCAGCAGTGGCCCTTTAAAACAGAGCAAAGCGTGCAGTATGCACACTGCCCAGTCCAAACCCAGCAGCCACGTGAACTCTCCCCTGGTGGGCAGTGCCAGGCTGGCACAGCAAGGCTCCCTCACTCTCCCCAAAGACGGAGTCTGATTGAACTTGCTGGCTCCCACTCACTCTGCCCCAATTTTCCTCAGGACAAATGAGAAGAATCTCTCTCCAAGTGCAAGATTTTGGGAATATGTGTCAGAGATGCCTGTCAGTAAAACATCCATCTTGCCCTAATTTCTGCATGGAGTGCTGCAATGTCGAGTGAAATAACCTTCCAAGCTGGCTCTGGTGCAGAGGTATTTTGGCTTATGTTATTGCTGAGAGCTTTCTTTCTGATGAGTTCTTTCTGCCTCTCTGTGTTTCTGATGTCTGACTCTCTTCACTTTTCTTTTTCCCTTGGGCTGGGATGTGTGCTGTTTGCAATGCATCAGGAAGTAATACGCAATGAGAAAACTCTCATCATCTGTGCATCAGGGAGAGAATTACTGACTGAGTGCTGAGCAGTCAAGTTATTGATTCAAACCAAAGCCCAGTCTCTCTGTCTGCTGGGCTGGTTACATCCTGCTGGTTCATTGCATTTAATCGGATTCCCTGAGCTGCCACGCAGAGGGGGCAAGTTAGAGCCAGATCCATCTATGATGTTCGCCTCAAAATCCAGCTCTGTGTCCCCTTCTCCGTCCATGGAACAGGCAGATTCTGATGCTCTGGACATCAGCACCAAAGTGCAGCTGTATGGTGTGCTCTGGAAGAGACCCTTTGGGAGGCAGTCAGCCAAATGGTCCAGGAGGTAAGTCACAGTTATGAGGGATGCTCGGGTGGAACACAAAGCCTAAAGGTTCTGGGGTGAGTTAGAGACTGAGTGCTTCACCCTTCCAGTGCAGCCAGCCAGGCAGAGGCTGGGATAAAACTTGGGGCATAGCTTCCCTGCTGTTCTGAGTCCGCTTTACACACGTGGCTCCCCATTGTGCTCTCTTCCTTATCTGTCCAGACCTTGTGCTATGTGTACTTCAGGGTGGTAATAGAGACTAGCTGCCTCTTCTGAATAATTATGATCCTTTCATGAAAGGGGAAGAGTCTGTTCATGCATTTTGCCTCTAAACTGCCTGACCTTTTTGTTTTGGGACTCAAAGCTCTTTGAGTCTTTTGGGTGCGAGATGGCAGGGTTGAGCTGACTGCATGTGGGTCTGTAGTGTGTGTGTGTGGTCTGCAGGGGTCTGTGCACAGCTCCAGTACTGCTGTGCTGCCTGACAGTGACAGCGTGCTGGGAGCAGCACATGCAGACTCTTCCCAGGGGAGAAGGTGGCTCTGAATTCTCTCCCATCTGGTGTTAGGGAGGTGTAAGCTGCTGTTGTCTATCAGCAGCCAGGAAGTTTGGTGCTGGAAAGTATTTGCTATAACCTTTAACCAAGGACAGAAATATGTTCTATAATACTGAAGTGGTGGGTCGGTTTTAAGTTTAGAGTTAGTGTAGTTTCTTAATGCAAATCACTGAATCTCTGACACTTACCTTTTGTGGGCAAGTACCTTTGCTGCAGTCTGCAGTGTAGATACAAACAATCCATTTCTAAAGCCAGCTTTCCCAGCTTTGCTCTCTGTAGTAACCATAGTGCTGCCCAGTCTGTGAAGATGGCATAGCCTGAATAAAAGTTACTTGGAAAGCAGTTTTGTGTTTGTAGCAGTCTTTGACCTGTGTGTATGTTTTATTCTCTCCCGTGCCAAGAACAGCCTATTTTCACCCAGAAAAGAATTTGTGCTGATGCTCCCTACTCAGCTCCCAAATATTGATAAATAAATGAATTATGTCTGGAAACGAATGTGATTGTGTTATGGAAAAGTAGTGGACAGAATAACAGAGTGGAAGGTAATTTGCCATGGAGGAGACATTCTTAAAAGGCTCTCCCTAATAAAAATTTCTTGCAGGCAAATGGCCCATCTCTGTTCCCTTTGTCATTATTTATTTAGTGCTGCTCTATTCCTAGAAGTCACCCCCATCTTCGGCAAGTGGTAAATATTTTAGTGATAGCAGCTGGGAACAGAAGGGGAGGTGACTGTGGGGCAGGGGTGATGTGAAAGATTAGTTGCAAGCGCAGCAGCTGAGGGTCCTGGGGGACCAGACACAGGTCAGTTAGAGTTGAATGTGGAATCTGTAGGGTTTGGAAGGAAGTGAGTACTGGGGTAAAAAGACTTGAACAGGAGGAATAATGTGAGTTTTGTTTGTTTGTTTTATCATGGGAGAGACTTGCTTTTAAGTAAAATAACCTTGCATGTTATTATAACAAACCATTATGGGGCGATAAGGAGCAATTCATTCATTTCCCCCTCTGTCTCCCCATGCCCAGCAACACATAACTGGTCAAGTACATTTTTTTATGAAAAGGAGAAGAGATGTTTCCCAGTCCAGTTAAATAAAGAAAAAAGATTGACTGTATCTGGATGTCATTGATGACCTGGTCTCTGATAAATGTAGGTTTTGTCCTGAAATCTTGGACAACAGTACTACTCCTACTCCCAAGGAAAGTCTTTCCAAGATATGGGAGATAAGACTGTGTGTAAGGGGAGATTGATCTCATCATGCCATCAGCCCACATAGACCCATCAGAGGATCAGAGGATGGGTCTGTGTGGGAGATACCTGATATTAACTGGCTTGATCCCATTCATTTGGCTGTAGCAGGAATACTTCTGGAGAAACTGAGAAGAAAAGCAAGTGTTTCGGGGAGGGATGGAATCTGACTAGATATCAGATCAAGGAAAAAGTGTCCAGGCATGGTGTCCAGTACTTTGGTGATGGAAATCCCAGGTTTTGAAATTTCACAGCAGTAGGGGTTATGCAGGGAGGAGGGAGGGATAGCAGAGCCTTCTTTTAGTCAGGGCCAAATCTGATGGCACCTGTGGAGACAGCTGAACTTGACCTGGGGCAGCTGTCTGGAGCATTTTCAGTCCTTTCTTTTGCCCATACAATGGTCTGCTCTGAAGCCCAAATATAATATTTGCATGCTGCCTCGGGTGCCGTCCGAGAGTGGGATGGATGTTTCTGGACCAGCGTGGCTGTGTTTATCTGCCAGGGCTGACATCTGAGCTTGGTGCCTTTCAGAGCTTGATTTTTAAAATGCCATTAGCAGCATCCTAATGCCTATCCCTTAAAGAAAGGGAGGTCTATTCCTCATGTGAATTTTCTTTCCTTGTAAAATAATATCCTTCCAACAGAGAAGCACCTGACTTCTGAATTTAGTGGTGCTTTAGTGGTGCAGTCTAAGCTTGGATCACTGCTGAAGTGGCTCTGGAAAATCATATTCTCAGTCCCTGATTAATGGTCCTCCTCTTATGAAAAACTGCACCCCATTCTTCCTTCCAAAGCCTAACAAGCAATTTAGTATCTCTTACTACAGAAGTTTACTGGTAATGGCACCAGCCTGGCACAGAGGCTGGAGTGAAATGCATAATGTGTGTACCTGCACTGGATAGGGTGCTGTAACTTTCCAGGACAGAAGTGGCACATCCTTCTTTACCATAAATAATCCCAGTCCCAGATAGAAATGTCAGGCTCTAAACTCCAACCATCCATGTCTGAGCCTTTGGGGTTCAATGAGACAGTAGCTGGAAGGGGCATCTCTTTGGTGGACAACTGAACACCAGAAAAGCAAGGTGAAAGCACAAGAAGAGAGACAGCAAAACTCAAAACATGCCTATATCTCCACAAATCCATCAGAGATGTCAGGTTGGAAGGGGGGAAGCACAGCAAGTTAAGAGAGAATTTTTTGTCTTTTCTTGAACCAGTCCTGTCTCTGGCATTGCAAAGCAGGCCACAGAGGAAAACCTTGTTTTCCACAGCGGCTACAAGCAGTGACTGCGCGTGGTCACGGGACAGATGGAAAAGCTCATTGCTCAGGGCTGCGTTCTGCTCAGAGCCCCCGGGAACGCCACAGCTGCCGGGACAGCGGCGCTGCGGAGCCCGGCCTTCCCTCTGCTCCCGGGAACCTCGTCCTTGCGCTGCCTGCCGGCAGGAGCCGGCCCCAGCCCCTCCAGGCCCGCCCCAGCCCCTCCAGGCCCGGCCCGGCCCGGCCCGGCCCGGCCCGGCTGGGCCCGCTGCGGGGGCCGGGCGCAGAGCAGGGCCGGGGGAGGCCTGGAGCCCTCAGGAGAGGCGGAGCGAGGGGCCGGTGCTGCCCACTCTGATCTTCGTGCTGATAAAGGTCATGGCCCGTCCGGAGCTCTGTCCGGGATAGAGTGCTGGGCTGATCTAGTAAATGGGGCTTGTCCCCTGTGCTCCTGGCCCAGGGCAACGCCATCAGAATAAAGGCCCAGGGAGCTGCTGCAGTTTTATAGTGTAACTACTTCATCTGGGCCACTGTCGTGTCAAAAACTTGTACAAAGATAAGCTAATTAATTTCATTAGCCCTCTGTGATACAAAGAACCCTTATCCCACAGAGATCGGGTATCTCAATTTGTCCAGTACAGAGCAGCTGTTTGTGCCTTATATCTGAGTCTCTCACATTGTCACGATTCCTCTGCTATTCTGGTTTAATTACACTGTGGTTTCAGTGGTTCCTTACTGCAGGATCCAGCAGCAGGGATGGGTGACCAGGGCATCTGACCACATGAGTGGCTCTTGTATTACCTGTGCTGCCTGTGGAGAGTGGCTGTGCCAGCCTGTCTCGCCTCTCACACCTTTGCTACTGTTCTGAAGGTTTTGAACTCTGCTATGTTTTTAAATGGCTTCTTTTTTGGGTCCTTGTTTGTATTAAAAATTTTCCCCTGCCTTTACAGCACTCCCTTTTCTCCTGCTGCCACGTGTGGCAACACATGTTGCATCTCCAGTCCTCCAATCACAGTCCTAATGGGGTATCTCTCCGCATTCTCCCTTGACCATCTCTTCCCTTTCTGCTCTTACCCAGCTGCTGCATAAGTTTTCAACCTGCTCTTGAGTCTTGTAACTCTCTCCTCTATTATTTTACTTCATCCCTCTTTTCACCATGCTGCATCAATTGCCCCTGGATTCTTGCATGCACATTTCGTCCTGAAGGTCATTTAAAGTGATGGTCTTGATTGCTCTGGTGTTGCTTTCCAGGTAAGGATAGATGAGGGAATATGATCTGAGCATAAATACATTATGTGCACAAGCTAACCAGATTTTCAATGTTTTTCCTTTATTACTTGCAATAGGATTTTGTTATTATTATTTTTTAAACTCTAATTTTGTATATTTTCATTCCAAATCCCCATATTTTCCTCTCCACATCTGTGAGGTCAGGAATCTAAAAGTTCATTTATCTGTGAGAGACACATTGATTTTCAGAGATTTGTGCTATATTTTGTTCTTATTTTTGCTTTGATTTTGGTTTCCATTGAAGCATAATCTATAATATGGGGATTGTCAGCACTGAGCGATAAGAAGTATTTGACAAAATAAATCCTGGCTTTAACTGGGAGTTAACATTTAGATTACAAAAATCACAGAGTTAAAGATCAGTATCTTTACCTGTCTGGAAAATGTTTCTTGAGATTAGTCAGACTGAAAAGAGTGTTGAAAGTGACAATTTGACTTTCTCTGTTTCACGTGGTGTGTTGACTTTTGGCATCTCTAGATTCATACTTGTGCCCAGTCTCTGGCTCCCTCTGACTCACTGGACCAAGCACAGGCCATTGGGCAGGCAGGTTTGTTCTTTTAAGATGTTATTTCTGTATTTAATGTGCAGATAAGGCAACATTTCTCTCTAAGAAATGAAGTCTTCCTTGAACTAAGCATAGAGTTGGAGAAAAAACAAAGATGCAGCTACTCAAAGGAAAACTTTCTTATAGAGTTAACGGCCAGAGAGGTGAGGAAAAAAATAGGAAGGCACAAGGCTGCTGTTCACAGAAGTGATGTGGATAGGAGGAACCAGGAACAAGCCTTGTCTGCTCTCTGGAGGTCTCTGATATCTGCCTTAGCAAAGTGCCTGCTTCTCCCCACCTCTGATGTCAACATGAACAGATGAGAGGCCAAGGAGAGGAAAAAAATTGGGGAACAGTAACTGCTGCTGCCATTTGTACATTCTGAAGATTTCTGGATGTAAATATGCACCTGTTCAATGACTGGCACTTTCAAACACAAAAAGTGGTCCAGCGCTTGAGTTTCCTGCAGACTTTGAGAAGTTTAGCTTTGTTCTGCATTTATTTATTGCCCCAAGAGCCCATGGTCTCTGTTTCCATGGCATTTGGCAATTTCATCTGGGTTGCCAGAGCCATAGCAGAAGAGCAAGAGACAGAAGCTGATGGAAGCAGTAAAGTTTTCATCCCAGTAAAATAACTATAATAATTATTATTAATAATTATATATATATTATTTTATTATTATTATTATTATTCTCTGCCAACTTCAACATCTTTCTTTAGTTTTTTAAACTAAACTGGTACCAGATTGCTGTACTCATCTGTACTGGAGGCAGGAGATTGCTCCATCTGACAGCCCATCCACTTCAGGAGAGGACTGGGGGGAGATGGGGGCCCATGAAGGCATTGGAATTGTCCTTGTGGATCAGCTCCTTTGGCCTGTAGCCCATTACTAATGATGGTGTCAAGGAAAGGTGCAGCAATGCCCAGTCTGCACAAGTGGGCAGCACTGCCTGTAGAGGTCTTCTCTTCTTCCCTCCCAGAAACAGGAGGGTTTCTTGGGAATGTTCTTATTATTCACATAAAAGCCTTATCCTTTCCAGTTTCCTCATGATCTCTTGTCTTCAAGACCACATGAAAGTGATTTACACAGCTATGTTTTGTGACGTGTAAAAAAGCATTTTAAAATAATTTTCACCTTCTTGCCTTTCACTTTCTTCCCAAATCTCTCTTTCTTGTGTCAGAAAATATGTACAGAACAGAACAATACATTTTCTTTGACATTTAGTCTTCTGAAACCTCCCTACTACGCTTGTCCCCATTTTTTTTCTTTTCAGCTGCTCTTCATAATTTTTGAGTGCTGCAGAGATTTAGACCAAATTGAAATTAAGTCAGGTATCTCTCCCCTGTACCACTGCCTGCAGAGTATGTACAACCTCAATTTTTGAAGAGAGGAGGGACCCTCCCAGGAGCATTTCAAAAATCCAAATAAGTTAAACGTGGCACTCCTTTAATCATAATTTTGGGGACACACTCCAGTAAGTTAGAGGCTTGGCTTGCAGAAGCTGTAATACTTTGTGGTTACTATACAATGATCACCAGAGCATACTTAAGGCTAACTGAGCAGAACAAGGCCTATTTTTATGTTACACATATGAGAAAAAAAAAATTCAATTTCCTCTGTAGTTGTGAAGGTCAGTGACAGGAGAGTTTGCCAGGTGCTCAGCTTAAAAATAACTTTCAAATTTATTTCTGCTCCTCAGTACTTTGGTGGCCAATTTTTGCTTCAAGAGTCACTTGGGGATGCTAGGCTGTGATTCTCTGTTAGACTGGAAACATTTCCCTCTGGCTTATGCTGAGATGGGAGGGAATAGGGTGGCAGGCAGCACAGTGCAAAATAAGCATTTAGTTGGTCTTAGCCCATGCAAGAGACCCTTGAATAAAAGAGCAGCTCTCTCCAATAGGTTGAATTCAACACATGAGCTAGAGAGGGCACAGATGTAGAGGTGGCAAAAGTCCGTGGTCCTGTCTGGGACACAGAGTGCTGTCCCAGTGCCCTGAGAGCAGGTGGTCTGCCCTCAGCTCTGGTGGGTGCCTGCTGGGGGGACCTGCAACACAAAGTACCTCAACTTGGCACTTGCTGTTAAGCACGAGCTCTTGGCTGTGAGCAGAAGTGAGGCACCTCACCTTAGTCTTAGGTGGGAGTGGTAAACTCTCCTGCTCAGAAAGCAGCTTTAGTTAGGTGGGGATTTTCTTGTGCTGTGAACCACAACCTCCATTTCACCAGCATGTATTTCCCTTCTCTGTCTTAAAGGTTCTTCATCATTAAGGAAAGCTTCCTGCTGTACTATGCTGAGAGTGAGAAGAAGAGTTTTGAAAGCAATAAATACTTCAATATCCATCCCAAGGTGAGCAGTGTTTGCACAAGGAAGGAGTTATACTGTTTCCAGCATTCCCCTCCCTTCCTCCATGGGCCCAGCAGGTGATGAAGAGCAAAGACCCAGTAAGCCCCAGATATCTCACAGGTTCAGGGAAGCTCCAAAAGAGGAGGAATCATGTTGGTACCTTTTCAGGATATTCAATGATTCAACAGGCATATGGCCTCTTTTTTATTTTTTTTTTTTTTTAACCTGATAGTAGATATATTCCCTTATTGTCATGATCTAATAAACTAATCTTGTGGCTATAAAAATAATGTCCTCTGCAGTCACTGCAGGCTGATGTAGCACGTGAGCTTCCAAAAGTGCTGATTTCACCCATCCTGGCTGGCACAGCCACCTGCCTGCCTGCCCCACACAGCACATGTTTTTTGGGGTTTGCTTTTTTTTACAGTGACTGTAATGAATGCACAGCCTCTCTCATTATACCACACTGAATCTGCAACCTTTGCCCCCATTGGAGTTCACTTCCTCCTTGATGGAGCAGTTTCTGCTTCCATGTTCTAGCTAACAGCTTTCCCTCCATGCTGAAGGCAGGACTATCATTTTTACTCCCTTCCAGATACTGGCTGAGGGTTTCCTGGTGGAAATGAGAGTCCCTCTGCTTTGCAGGAACTGTGTGTGTTGCCCCTCCTGGGGTAGCCAAGGCAGGGCATGGGCCAAAGTAACTGAGAGTGCAAGTTCAGCTCCTAGGTAATTGATAGTTATACTTGATTTTTCTGACTGATTAGAGTGCTCTGGTTTATCTCCAGGGCGTCATACCCCTGGGAGGCTGCATTGTGGAGCCCAAAGAAGAGGCCAACATGCCTTATGCCATAAAGATCTCTCATGAAGACTTCCATGTAAGTAGAGTTATTTTCTTCTAAAAAGCTCCAAACACCACAGAACAGGTTAATGCTGATGAGCAGAACTGCATTGGCAGTCTTTTCCCTTCCCACCAAGGTATGCCTACCCTCTCTGGACAGACTATCCTGAGAGCAAGGGTGACTTAGCATCCCAAGTCCCCTCAAGGCTTTGCTGCTGTATGGCAATGAACAAGGAAACTTGCACTTTCTGGCACCAGGTTTTATGATGCTAGTAGGCTAGTGGACAGATTCTCAGGAGCCCTAGAGCCCACGTTGCCCTGTCACAATTATTCCTGCTGTGGCTGTTTGCTGTGTGCACACTTCCCAGTGTGTGGTAGGCCTGGGTTGTATTTGCTCCCGTGTGATGCTCCTTGTGGAGGTGGAAGCCTATGGTGGGCTCTCCTCCCACCACAGCTGTGTCCAGTTCATGCCAGGAGTGTACAGAGGTGCAGAAGGCACCAGCCTCTCTAATCTGGGTTTGTTTCCCCTCCCCTCTTCCAGGGTAACATTGTTCTAGCAGCCGAATCAGAGTTTGAGCAGGCTCAGTGGCTGGAGATGCTACAGGAGTCTGGAAAAGTGTAAGCTTCTTTCTATTCTTTGTTTGCTTTGATCTGCTCTGTAGGTGTATAAAGGATAAAAAGAGAGAAGCCTGACTAGAAGGGCTATGGGAAGTCAGACAAGCTCCTGAAAATCAGTGATAGCTTTACTTGCCTCCTGGACCCAACCTTACTCTAAAGGGGAGTGCTCTAGAACTGATGCAAAGCTTCCCACCTTGCTGTGCAGTGTGTGTGCAGTGCGTCTCTCTGCTCACCAGCCCAGGCTGTCATCTGCCAAGTGCTGATACACTGAGTTCCATCTGCTATCCTTCTCTTGTGCCTCAGAGAAGTGGGACCTGGATCTGAGTGGGAGCCCTCCTGGTCCATTTTGTGTGGGAAGCAAGGTTTGCAGGCTTGATGGAAGTGGGGGTGAGACAACTTCTCCATATGAATTTGGGGTAAAGTAAGAGCAGAAGAGGCAAGACATGAAGCTAGTGAGCAGCTGCCCATGTGGTTCTATGTCCTGCTATGAGCAGGGACCTCACCCAGCACAGTTCTGATCAATAACAGGAATTGTGCTGCAGTTCTGTGTCCACGGGGTGTGCATTCCTTCTGCCCAGATCTGCAGGTGCTCAGGCCATGCAGCAGCAGGATTTGGCCTCTCGAAACAGTTTAATTGTGAAATGCAGAGGCAGCCTAAATCCCAGCAGAGGCAGTGTTACAAAAGCATTTCCGGCCCACCTGAAGGGGTGAGAGAGTTTGATTGCTGTATGCATGCAGTTCTGGTTCACACTCTGCTGAGAATGCTGGACAGAGTTCTGCGATGGGTTGGCCTCCAGCTCTGCACTCCCCCAGCACCCAGGAGCCTGACAGTCCAATGAGCAGCTGTCCTGCAAAGCCAGAGCAGGCTCCTTCTAAATCTCAGCAGATGCAGGAAGAGATAACACTAAAACGGGGATTTGACTTTCCCTAAATGAGATATAGAAACTTCCTGGGTTTGTAGGGCAGAGCCTACCATTCAGCTCTGAGGCTTAAAGCAATGAGCATTTTGCTCTGCCCTTCTTGGCTGCATTACAACATGTGTGGTCCCTTATCACTGTGGGGACAGAAGCTGCTTAACTTGTAATACCACTGTGTGCATGTACATGTACATGCTAAGGCAGTATCTCAGTTCATTTCAATGTTGTGAGGCTCAAAATGTAGATTTGTAATTAATGGGGTGCAGAATGTTTGGTGGATCAGCCCAAGCTAAGCTCTGTGTTTGGCTGTGGTTCTGGGACAAGCTGTTACCTCCATGGCAGTGTATGAACTGCAACACACAGCTGCCCATTGAAGTTTCATGGGAGCAGGAGTCCTGTGGGACACAAGACCCAAGGCAGAGGTCTGCCACCCCCTTGGCACGAGCAGCCTTGGCCACTGCAGAGAAGTGACAGACAGAGTCAGCCCTTGAGCAATTTGGAGATTTTTATTGAATAGCACAGGTCCACACTTGCCTTTGCCAATATTAAAATTAACTATTGCCAAGGGCAGTAATTTGGCACCAAGTTCATCTTTCAGGTGTGTATGGGAGGGAAGGAGGAAGGCAGCACAACTCAGAATGGGTACACACAAGTAAGCCCTGCACTGCTGCATTTGTCACAGAGCCAGCCTTTTCTCTAGCCTGTGCTTTCATATTCCAGCAGTAGCATTTAAAACAGAAGCTAGAAGTGGCTGCTATCATACAGCAGACCACCTGCACCTAGGTGGAAAGCTGCCTGAGACACATTTTCTCCCCTCTGTGCTTCTGTTCCTGCATCAGAGAGTGGAGCAGCTCCAGTGCCAGTCTCATCAGTGCTGATAGTAACCTGCATGTGAGGAAAAGCACAGATTATGTGATTTAACGAGGTCAGGTTGGGAGTTCAACAGCAGTCAGAAAGGCCAGCATGGGCCAATAAATTGATCTGCAGTGGATAGAAAAGTTGGAAGAATACAGTTGAATTATTCTAGGGAATCTGTTATAATGTTCTTTTGTTCCTAGATGGAGATTATACTGCCAGTGGCACCACACTGCTGCAATCATCCTGCTGTTTTCATAATTATATAAAGTTGACAAAACACCCACAAACAAACAACTTTAAAAGGGAAAAACAAAAGGGCAAAAAAAAAAAAAAATCCCAACCCCAAAACAAACTCCACAGACTGAGATATGGACGTAGGCAAAGGAGAAAAAACAAATCCAGGCTGGGAAGTATCCTCTGTCCTTTGTTTCGATTTTGTCCGCTGCCTGTTTCCATCTGGGTCATGTGTATGTGCCTGCACAACAGGTTATTGCCTCCACCATCACAGTCTGCTTGGTGATCCTTTCAGTTCTTCATTCCTTTCCAAACCTCCTGCCCTGGTAGGGAAATGGCTTATTCAATGCAAAGGGGAATTGATGGCATCCCAACGCTTCCAAAGTGCTGTGGCTTGACTTACCACACCTGCCAGATTGTGATATCTTTTCGGAAATGCACAAAGTCCTGACTCCCAGACTGCCAGGCTCTCTTCCCACCCAGACAGTCTTTGCTGCTGCTAGTGGGGGAGAGTGGCAAACATAACCTTTCTGTCCACAGCAGCATTCCTTGAACTGGTAGAAAGTAAACTTGGTGGGCAATGCAGGAGAAGAACAGTAACATAGTACTTCCGTGCTGCGGACTATAAAGTGCTGAATGTCTCCAAAAATTGGCTGGGGGTGCTACCAAGAAAGGTAAAATGCAGCAAAAGCTAAAGAGATATTCCCAGTGCTGCCGAGGGACTGGAACAGACAGTGATTGAGGAGTATATGTGATGGAGATTCTCTACAGCTTTGGGATCTTTGTTTTTTTTTCAGGCAGAGGTTTTTACTTGTCCCATGAGCCTTCCTGGCCCTGTGCTTTCCAATACTTTAAGCAACGTAACTTTTTCTGATGAAAACTCACTTGGCAAGGAATACAAATGAAAAGAAACTTTTGCTTGCCCCTCAGCTGAAGGTACCTCAGCCTGGTACTGCCCTGTAGCTGTGGTTACACCAGCACTGCTTCCAGTAGATGTAGGAATAAAAGCTTAAATGCTACATGGTGATCCAAGTGCATTTTCAAAGTCACACAGCAGTGGGTGCAGTAACCTTTGAGCAATAGACAGGGAAATGTGTTGTTAGTCTGGGGAAGGGAAGGGAGCACTGGTGCATCTGTAAAGAGACACCTTAAAGGCTACAGATGTTTTGAAACCCTCCATGTAATCCTATGATAAATTCTGTCATTCCCCCCATTCCCATCTTGACCTGTTTGCTTCTCTAAGATCAGATTTGTCCTGTAACAGGGAATGTTAGTGAGAAAACACATTCACACCCACATGTTCTCACTCAAGATGAAGATGACTACCTGTGGGCAAAACAGCACCTTTTAAATTAGCATTCTAATTTCTTCTCCACTTTAGAAATAGCCTCATTAGCTGACAAGAAACACATATATCTGCAAAGAGCTAGGGCTGCTGGAGCTGTGAGCACCTGGTCCCTGGAGTGGTGTGTGTTTAATTTATTTGTCTGGCTTTTATAAGAGACAAAGCACAGCTTGCCTTGAAATAAGAGATTGCCAAATTAACAGTTTCCAAAAAGCTACAATTTCAAATTGTTCACAAAGAGGCCCAGTACAGGAAGCTTTAAAGATATTTAATATTTATAAGATCCCTTAGGATTTAACAAAGATGGCAGAATTTCTTGGCAAAAATTGCTGTTCCTGTACGTGCATCTATATAAACATATTGGAATCAATTTTATGTATGTTTTAATGTTATGCATTTTATATGTTATTCTATATGTATTTTAGATTTTTTTTTCTAATGAAACATGAATAGAAGTGAGCAGCAAACACCATTTCTGGTTCTATTTTTGGTTTTTGGTGTGCCTGTCCTTGATGTTTAATATCTGTATTAAAGCCTAGCCTGTCTGTGAGCTCAATCAGTAATGGGTATATGCTCCACAGGCTCCTTTTTTAAGCTTTGCTTTATAAAGTGTTTAAGAGACCTTGAGATCCTCTGGCCAGGGTCCTACAATAACACAAGGTGCTCTTTGAATATGCCTGCTTTTTAACATTCCCGACTTGCCAGCATCTTGTCTGGCTTTTATCTCTGGTTCTTCCTGCTGTTTATCAGGAAAAAGCGCTTGACTCACAGCGTAGGGCCAGACACCAAGTCCTAGTGGCTTACAGCTTTAGCAGAGGAGGGGTTGATTGGTTCCAGGATGGATGATGGATACCAGAAAGACTAAAGGTAAAAGGCCATAGGAAAGATTCAATAAGTGGTTGAAGTCTGAAAGGGAAGAGTGACTCTAACAGCAAAATATTGGAAAGGCTGCAAAAGAATGTTGCTGGCAGTGGGAAGTTACTTGAGTTAAAAGCTAAATTCTGGTTCTAAAGTCTGTCATTTAAAGGGTTCCAGGTACATCCTGTTGCAGTTGGAGGCTGTGAATATGCTGGATTGGTCTGGAGAGCCCTCAAAATTAAGCTCATTATAGAAATATCCAAAAACACTGGAAAAAAATTTGAATAGCTGTGAGGTGTTGACATACAGCCCATGTATTACAAAATTTCTCCAATTAATTTGTGGAGAAAAATTTTAGAGAATCATGGTCCCAGCTGATGACAGTCAGCACGTTTGAATTCCTTGGTAGTTTGCTAGGCAGAATCTCCTGTCCTAGTCTGTGGGATCCTTAGCTCTCTTACATTGCCTGCTTTGTGTCTGCTCTCCCTAGAACCTGGAGGAATGCCCAGCTGGGAGAAGCCATGATCGAGAGCCTGGAAGCTCAAGGACTGCAGCTGGCCAAGGAGAAACAGGAATATTTGGGTAGGCTTTTCTTACTTTAAAAAGCTATAAAGGCCAAAATAGTAATTTTGCTTTTCCTGGAGTTGTCATTGTGGTCAAGCCAAGCAGCTACAGGTTTTCTCTGGATAAAGCTTTTGAGTGGTCAGCAGCTGGAATTCAGGTCTGAAGGGAGTCAAAACATGCAAAGTTAAGGTGGAATCTGGACATTTGTGTGGAGTGTGAAGGAGGAACATGCTTTGCCCAACACGCTGCAGTCTTCCATGGCTCATCTGTACAAACATTTGCCATCCCTGAGAGGTTTGGATGTGCTGGTTTCAGCTATTCACAGGCAAGCAGACAATACCTTTGTCTCCTGTAATCAGGCAGGTCTGATACTTCTGAGGTTGGTCACAGCTTTTCATACATGAGTTTTCTTCACCTAGCTGGTGTTTTTTTGGTCTTACTCTACTTGATTTTTGTGTTTGCTCACACTGTTCATATTGGAAGTGGAAGCATTTATATGGGCTTTTTTGAGGTATCTAATGGCAGTGGCTAATTTGTCAGTGCTCTCTCTGTAGACAGAGGAAAAACAACAGATGAACATGAAATAATCTAGGTATGTAATCTAATGCCCTATTTAGGAACCAGCCTCTGCATAGCCTGATACCTTGGATGCTCTGACTGCCTTGGGATGTCCAGTTATCTCTTCCCTGCATTGCCTATAGGAAGAGCCAGGGGAGAGCAGCCCTTTTAACTTGGATGCCCTCTAAGTTATTGCATTCCCCAGGTCTAAGAGACCTTCTGACCTGGTGGCTGCAGGTCACAAGTGTGGGCCCACTGACTTGTCTGGAGAGTTATCTGCTTTAAATAAGATAGCAGAAATTTGGGTGCTTCAGGTTGGTGATGCCTTGAGCAGTGGCTCATTTTATCTACTCCTAATTGTCAAGCCCCTGGAGGAATCTTAAGGAGCTTTTTGCATTTCTGTATCCACATGGATCAGGGCTGATCTCAGCATATGGTCTCACATTTAGCAGTGATCATTAACAGTGATCATAGCTCAAGGCATGTTTACTCTGTCCATCTGAACACCATTCACCCATGTGAGGTGATGGGTTCGAACGTGAAGCAGGCAGGGAGAAGTGGTTCCACACCTGACAAAGGAATAACAGGGGATACTGAGAGAAGGACCTGTAGGGACAGACACAGGAGGAAAATTAGAAACAGGAAAGTTTTGTCAAAACATTATTTTGCAACCACTAGAGCAAATGAAAGGGCTTTAATGACTAAAGAGCTCTTTAGTATGATAAAGGAAAAGGTGGTGGAGAAATAGAGGAATGTACATTCTGTGGCAAACAGGAGATATTTGGAATATAAAATATATATTTCACTGGGTTCTTTGGTCCATGACAAGAACATTCAGAGCTGGTCAATTGTCACAGTTGGTTACTTTCTTTTGACACGAACTGTCTATTCCTATATAAGTGCTAAGGCTTCTGCCTCGTTAGCCTTACCTTCAATGATCTGTGTCCATCCTGTAGTCAAGCTTTGAGATCAGGCACTGCTCCTGGAAGCAGGTCAAGGTTCTCTGGAGGAACACTGCTCTGAGGAATTTCTTCAACACACACTGAGTTATCTTCCACCCAGCTGGGATCCAGGTTGCACTGTCAGACATGGACATTGTAGAAGCCCATCAGGTCCAGGGCTTGGGCCCCCCAGGCGGGGCAGAAGAGGGAAGGTGGGAGAGCCTCTGTAATTACAGTGCATCTGTGCTGGGTTCTGGCCAGGACTAAGAGAGTGGGAAAGAAAGGCAGCAGTGGTGCTCAGCAGAGCTTTGGTAATGTAACACTTTCTCTGGCACCAGGAGCCCTGCTCTGGGCAGGAGGTAGAGGTCTGCATTCCTCCTAGAAGTGGTAATCCTGCCAGCAGCAGTAACCTTGTCAGGTCCTCAGTACCGGGGAAATCAGTAGCACCTCACTCACCTGACAAGAGGAAGGTAGAAGTGCTCCAGTCAGTCTGCCCCAGCTCCCATGGCAGCAGAGCTGCGAGCTAAACCCGAGAAGCATTTCTGTCTGGGTTCCTGTAAGCATGGCTAAGAGCTGCCTGAGGCAGAGCCTCTGAGCTTGCAGCTGGCACAGCAGAGGAGCATCAGGCTGCAGGGTGAGGACCAGAGCACAGCCTCTGCTGGGCATGTGTGTCTTCAGCGGAGAAGAGCAAGTGATGTTGAGGGGAACTGCTCTGTACAGCAGAAGTTTGGTGGCTAAGTTAGGGATTGTTTTCTGGGCTTGGCTGGGACATCCCAAGGTGACAATAGGGAATTGGCAGTGCTTCCCAGAGGGCTAAGGAGAAGATGATGGGCTAGGCAGGTGAGGATGGGGCACTGAGCTGAAGGAAAACTGACGCGCATGTTGTGTGACCCTCTGCACTCACGTGACCTTTCTGTGCCTTGTTCCTTATCTGTGAAGCAGAGATATGAATATTTTCCTGACTCAGATACAGGATGGTGAAGGATGGTTCATTAATGCTCTTTAAGAATATTGAGAAACCTTAGAAGGAGTACAAAGCAATATGTTTGTTTAGTTTATTAAGTTATTTGGCAGGCGGAAAGTTAGAGAACATCCCATTAGTGCCATCTCAGCCTTTGGAGCCTCCCAGACAGATACACACAAAGGAATAGGGAATACTGCATTTTCAACCTTCACAAAGCCAGTGTTTCTTGTTTGTAAATATCCCAAGGATATAAAATGCTTTTCTCTGTGCTTGGAATGTTTTTTTTTTGTGTGTGTGTTTGCAGATAAACTAATGGAAGAAACAGAAGAGCTATGTCTGCAGAGGGAGCAAAAAGAGGTGAGTTCATCACAAGCCAATGTCCTTCAACTGCCATGTGGCAGGGGTGGGAGGCCAGGACTTGTTTGTTTAAAGGCACGTCAGGGAGAGAGGCTTGTGGAGGCACAAGTCTCCAGCCAACCTCTGGGTCCTGTGGATGAAGAGAGGAATAATGAAATGAGATGGGTCATGGAGGTATATTCCTGCTCCCTTTCCCTGTTGCTTTCCATGCAGCAGGTTTGTCATTATGACTCCAGGAGGACCAGGAAAGAAAGATCAAATTAAAATCATACTCACTGGATTGATTTATACAATTGTTATTTGGCAGATTCAAGACGATTGTGGCAATTAAGACCCTTCTCTACAGTTAGAAAGCAAGTAAACAAGCATTGTTCCAGCATAGGGATACTGTTGTGAAAAACAAGGAGAACAAAAAAAAAAAGTGGTTTGTTCTTTGGACACAACAGAGATGGGGAGAATAAAAAATGTTGCACTAGGGAAAAATCAAGAGAGCACTTCCTTAGATGTGACTATTATACCTTAATTTACCTTAGAATAGAATGGTTTGGGTTGGAAAGGACCTTAAAGATCATCTCATTCCAACACCCCTGCCATGGGCAGGGAAGGGATATCCATTAGGCCAGGTTGCTTTATTAAGTTTATAATTGCTTTTCAAACTATTCCTAGCTTATAATTGCTTAATATAATAAAAGTAGCACATCTTTATATTTACTAATGCAAATCTATACTGATTTTTATAGCACCACCATAAAGTCATGGCAGGATAGCTGTGCAAATGGATTGTCCTATTATGCTGTTGGAAAGCCTGCATGGATATGGACCACCATATTAACAATGTTGCAAAGTGCTTCATGCTCTTTTCCATTTTATCCAAAATTACTGTTGCCTCTCCTTAGGAAAAATGGCAATGCTGACCTAGGCTTCTCAGGCCTATCTTTTTCTTGCATGCATTTCTGGAGAGCTAAAATCCAAAAGTGGCTTGGACACTTGCTTAGGGCTAAGCTCCTTTTGCCTTTGCAGAGGGACATCTCCCTCTGGTGAGGTAGCCTGAGGGGGAAATGACCTTGTCTGAAGATCTTGGAACAAATCTCTGCTCTTCCAAAGCCATGCACAGTAACTCCATTGCCTACAAAGAGCAGATAGGGCAGAAATGCAAACTCCTTAATTTGAAGGAGTTTGGTGCTGTGAAGGACTGAATGTAGATCTCACTGAACTGTGGTTTGACCCTCTGGGAGCCTGAAGGCTCAGAGCAGTACGTTGGGAAAGCAGCTTGAGCTGTGTACCTGCACCATGAAGCAAGAGTCTTAATTAGGAATTTATCCAGTGCCAGCACTGTTTTGTGAGTGACATGAGCCTGTAGCAGGAGTTCTGCACAGCAACTATGGCTGCAAGGGGACCTGGCCAGGAGAGGGACCCTTGCTGAATTTTGATTTTATCAGCACAAAGACAGTGACAGGCTGATTAAACTGTGCAAAGCTGTAACTGAATGGTTTGTGTTTTCCTGCACCAGTGGGGGTGAGAAGAAAGGCTGAGCTGGTAGAAGTATCACACTTCAGGCACAGAGATTCTGGGGCTGCTGCTTTCTGAGGCTGTCTGGCTTTTCTGTATCTGTGCGGGTGCGAGCCTGAAAATGCTTAGCATTCCCAGGGAGTTTTGGACCTTCTGTATATATGTGCCTGAGCTGACCTCTGCAAGGGAGCATGTCTGAGATTTCCAGGTGCTTGGTAACCTGGCTGGGACTTCTGGAAGTCTGAAAATCCTCAGGCTACCTCAAATCCTTCTAATTGCCCCTGGACAAAAGTGTGGTGGAGTCAGACACCCTGTAGCCCTACACAGCTTGGGTACATGCCACGTTACAAGTCTCAGGAGTTGTTAACAGGGAAGTCTCTCCTAACTGTGTCAGCAGGGTACATTCCTGTCTTCTCTTTTGGAGCAGGAACTGGAGCGTCTGAACCAGATCCTGGAAGCAGAGAAGCAGCGTTTTGAAGAGGTGGTGCGCGAGCTGCGGCTGGAGCAGGAGGAGATCAGACGGTACGGCAGCAGGGCAGGGACAGGACACAGCTCCCACACTGGCCAAAAGTACCACTGTGGTGGTGGATCCAAACAGTGTAAAATCCACCTGGTTTGTGCACGTAGGAAGGAGATGCTGCTTTGACCAAAACGGGAATGGCTGTGGGCTCTTTACCTGCATTTGCTCTTGCCTGTGGCCAATAGAATACAGCTTAGCTTCATTTTGCACTCAGGCCTCCAGCAATTTAATTTTGAAGTGCTGGGACACAAGCAACCCCCAGATTAGTTGGGGTAGCATAGTAATGGACAGGTGCAAGAGAAGATTTCAGAGAGCCAATTAATTCAGCTGACTGAGCAGATCCAGACACCTGGATTGGGTTTTCCACCATCAGCTGAATGACAATGGATGTATGATGATGTTGCCTCACCAAGATTAGTTTTGTCATTTTTAAAGTTAATTATGCAAAATATTAGCAGCAAATGTACTTAGAAATAGAAGGATCAAAGTGCTTTGCCTCACGCGTTGAAAGGGCATTTTTTGCTATCGCTCTTTTTTCTTCTTTTTTTTTCTCCCTAAGTAACATCTCAGAAAAGCCAGTGTGATTTTGCAAACCATTTTTGTTCTCAAAGGCTCTGCTTAGATGTGACTGCCCTGTCTGAGCTCTTTCAGTTGCAACCATGGCTCTGCCCTTGCTGGAGAAGTGCAGTAACTGTTGGGTTGGGTTTGATGATTAGAAGGCACAGTGAAGCTCCTGGACACCTGCAGGATGTGATGCTTCCTGGCAAACTCCTGGCTCGCCAGGACTGGCTGTACCTACTGATGGTTGCAGGTCCTGCACCAGGAGACCCTCAGCCCGCACAGCCTGGGCGCAGTCTGTGGGGCCACCGTTCCCCTGCAGTAGCTGTCACCTTTTTTGCTTCTTTAGGGAGCTGGAGCTCACAGCCCGCTCCCTTAAAGGAGTGGAGGAAGAGAAGAAAGAGTTGCGAAGCCTGACAGAGTCCTTACAGAACACCCTAGAGGTGAGTGACTGCTCCTCCCCTCTGAGTAACAGCATTTTGGCCTGAAAGCAATGCTGTCACATGGAATGAATCCAACACCTGCCAATGCCAGAGCTGAGGTGCTGTACAGATGAACAGGTTCATTTGGTAGCGGATATGAACACCAAAATCCCCTTCAGAAAAGGATGAGAAATGACACAGAGCACAAGTGAACCAAGGTTTTCTCAGCAGTACTAGGTAATATGGTGGTAGGACAATAACCATGATAAGTTGTAGTTTAGGAAGCTTAGGTGGAACAGTAAGGAGAGAATTTTCACCAGATAGGCAGGCAGGCAGTCAGAGAGGCTGAGGAACCTTCATTGTGGACTGTTTTCAGACTGTAAACAGCCACAGCTGACCATATCCTGCTGTGCTGACAGACTGGCTCTGAACAGCAAGCTGGGCAGGAGCCTACTGGAAGGTCCCTTCCAGCCAACATAACTGTAAGTCTGTGATGAGCTTTTTTTTTTTTTTTTTAACTGCACCTCCCTACCTTCTGGTAGAATTTGAAGCAGCAGAAGGGCATTCTTTGTTCACAGAAGGGAGCATAATTCCCTAGGAAATCATGTACCACATGGGAATCTAGGAAACAGAGTCCTGATGTATTAAAATCTTTCCTTACTGGTGGATTTGTGGAAAGTGTCTTTTCTAAATGTATATTTTTTTGTGAAATTTCCACACACTTGGCATTCTGAAGCTGCAAGGTCATCTTTAATGTTTGTGTCAAATTTTGCAAGTTTGTCCAAAAATCTGTTCCTTTGAGTTCTTCTCCTTGCCCTCAGTTATGAAAAAAATAACTGGAAAGCTATGGAAGTACCATTCCTGCCTTAATTGCACATTTAACACTTCAGAGGCAAACAGAGTGATGTGTCCCATTGCCCACAGTTAGAAGTACCACAGAGGGGGTGCCTCCAGCTCCCACTAAGGAACAAGTGGAGCAGGGAAGGCAGGGAAGCTGTCTGCATCTGTGATGCACCAGGGAAGCACAAGGTTCCAGTCCCTGAGTTGTGTCCTTGCTAGCAGATCACATCAAAAGAGCCTGCTGGTTCACCCCTTCGTAGTGAAGGCTGTGTTGGAGGCTTGCTCCCCGTGAAGCAGGTATGAAATGAAACCCAAATTTTGTTGTTCCTGTGTTTACCTGAATGAGGCATGTGGATGTAAGGATAGAGGCACTCAGTAAGGAAGAACCAGGCAGGAACAGGAGCAGAAACGCTAGACTTGGCTGATACTCACAGTCTCTTGTCCTTCTTCAAGGAGCTCTCCCTGGAAAAACAACAAATGCTGGAGATGCTGGAAGAAAATGAGAGCCAGGTCCCACCTCCAACCAGTCCCAGCAAGGAGCAAAGCCCCATCTGGGGACTGCACTCCAGCCTGCGACAGATTGAAGAGAAAATGCAGCAACTTCTGCAGGAGAAACTCCTGGCAGAGAAAAGGTAAGTGGGGAAAGAGGACACTTCTGCCCAAGCTTAGTGGTGCCAAATGATGTGACTGTCTGCTGACTTGCTTTTTGGTTGCCAGCACCAGACAACTTGGAAGTTTGCCTGGTTCCAATGGCAGGAGTTCAGGTTGCCAATCCTTCAAAGGAGACAGAGTGAGGCAGGGCAGGTCCCAGTTGGGCCTGCTTCTTTCACACCAGGACTTGGATATGGGAAGGTGTTCATGGCCTGCCCATAAGGAGCATTTGCTGCTCCTGGGCCTCATCTGGGAGTTGAGAATGTTCCATTCAAGAACTGTTCAGCTGGCTTTCTCCAGCAATGTCTGTGTTATTGCAATGGAGCTCACAGTGCTCCTGTTAGCGTCTCTGCTCTGGGCAGTCAGGTAGCTGAGCATGCCACATCGTGACACTGAGCTCCTTTCCTTCCTGTGAGTTGTGTTGGGGTGGGAATGGTCATCTTTGTTTGCTGTGCCATGCACCAGGATGAAGGAGAATGAGGAGCGGTCTCGAGCACTGGAGGAGGAGCGGGAATTTTACTCTTCCCAGTCGCAAGCGCTGCAGAACTCGCTCTCGGAGCTGACTGCAGAGAAACAGCAGGCAGAGAGAGACCTCAAGGTATCCCCTGCATACGTCACACACTGCTGTCCCTGGGCTCCCAGTGCTTCCATTTTCTCTTTCAGTTCATTCCCTATCAAGCCAAACTTTTGGTTTTATTTAGTTTTCACATTTTGGTCATAAAACTTCATTAGCTATGCTTCATATTGCCAACTGTATCCTGGCCTGCACCCAAAGCAGAGTAGCAGGCAGGGCAAGGGAGGTGATTCTGTCCCTCTGCTCCACTCTGGTGAGACCCCACCTGCAGTGCCGCATCCAGCTCTGGAAGGACGTTGACCTGTTGGAGTGAGCCCAGAGAAGGACCACTAAGGTGCTTGGAGGGCTGGAGCACCTCTCCTGTGAAGACAGGCTGGGAGAGTTTGGCCTAGGGAAGAGAAGGCTCTGAGAAGGAAACTTTTATAGGAATTTTTACAAGGTTATGTAGTGATAGGACAGGTGAAATTGGCTTCAATCTGAAAGAGGAGAGGTTTAGATTAGAAAGAAATGATTTACTGTGAGGGTGGTAAGGCATTGAAACAAATTGCTTAGACTCTAAGTTGTGGATATTCCATCCTGGAAGTGTTCAGGACTGGGTTGGATGGTGCTCTGAGAAACCTGGTCTAGTGAAAATTATCCCTCCCTGCGGGCGAGGGGTTGGGATGAGATAATCTTTAAGGTCTCTTCCTACCCAAAGCACTATGATAGCATGGTAACACATGAAATTGCTATCTTATACCTATGTAGGACTACTGTTTATTTTCATATCCTGAAGCCTAATTAATTCATTCAGTGCAAGTCTTTTAATTTGCTACTGTGAAAGCATCATCTATAGATGGAGGGAAGGAAAAATAGTAAAAGGGGAAAGTAGACACAATCAAGAATAAAGATGATTTCAAAGAAATGCTAATATAGATGTTGCAGAACTGAGTAGACATCTTCCCTCCTCACTTGTGCTCGGAAAACCAACCTTAAGACTTTTAAATCTTCAGTAATCTCTGCAAGAACTTGGGTTCAAAAGCAGAGGAATTCAGCTGAGGGACCAGCCCTTCGTAACAGACAATACATGAATCTATGCAAAGGTAACTGGATAAAGTATGGCATTTTATTTAAGCCTAAATAATGTAAAGGTTATGTAAAATAATTGGCTGTTTGGCGCTCAAACTCCTTTTACAAATATTTTGTCAAAAATAAAAAGCCCTGAGTTATTTTTTCCTGCACCTCCAATATTTTCTTATCTTGTAACTTTCTACTTGGCCAGACTAAAGCTAAATCGACCTAAACTGTGTAGTCTTTCTCCTTTGCTAAAGAGTACAGTATTTCTAAATTCTCTTGTGTTTTGTTTATGAAACTAAGCACTGTACATCCCTTTGTGGGAATTGACTGCCTTTATCTCAAGTCTGTCTCAGCTGGATTGATGTCCTTCTGTTCCTGCTGAGCTGCAAGTACTTGAATTAGCACAAATTCATGTATTGAAATACCATCTCTGATTCCATATGGTTTATGCAATGGGAGGAAAACTGTGAAAAATGAAGTCAGAGTAAATGAAAATTACTACAATAATCTGGACTTCAGATTCTGTCTGAAGACATGAGAAACACCTTTGTATTGCCTTGCAATATTTCTAAGGATTTCCATCCCTGTTATCTTTTCATTTTCATCCATGCCAAGTCCCTCACAGACCTTGTGAGTTATCAGGATGTTTACTGAGAAACAAGCTGCTTTCCAGCTATTCTTATTTTCTTCCTCAGGCTGAAGTGAAGGTACGCATGGATCTGGAGAAGAGACTGAGAGAGGCTGAAGAAGCATTGCAGAGCTTGGAGCAAGGCTTAAATTCTCTGAATTGCAACAAGGAGAAAGAGAAGAAGATGAAAGCAGATGTCAGTAACTTGAGAAGTAAGTTAGTCATCCATGCTCTCTACTGATGAGCAAACTCAAGAGAGGAAATATTTCTACCTATCTTACCAGACATAGAAAGAAAATTCCAAATTAGCAAAGATGCACATATATGTGGTCTCCCAACTTCTTGTACCGCCATCACACATCCCCTCTGAGGAGCCATGAGGTACTATGCAAGTAGTTGGTGTTTTGCCCTCAAAGGAGGTTGAAATTATTCCAGCCTCTCAAAGGAGCATGAAATTATTCCACCCTTCTCTCTTGGGTGGAAGACAAATCTAGAGATGAGCGAATACTTTCCAAAATGTCAAACAGGGAAGCTGTGGCAGAGCTATAAAAACTGACTACTGACTAAGTTTGGGTTATAAGGAGTCCTCTGATTCCCCTCAAGGCTTTATTTCTCAGCCTTGGTTAAAAGAATATCACCAGTTCAAGGAGGCCTGTGGTTGCTGTAGCAACGTGCTGGTAGGTGACCCAGAAGGTGAAGTTTGGATCTTTACTCAGAGCTGAATCACAGCATCTGCTCAGCACTGCAGTGCATGGGTCAGGTGTAAGACTGATGCTTCTCACAAGTTATCCCTGTTTCTTTGCCTTTTTTTGGTTTGTTTGCATTGGGTCTTTTTGGGTTCTCTTGAGAGGTATTACCCTGGCATTTGGCTTGAGTCAAGCTTGGAAACAGACATAAGCAGTCAAATTGAGTCAAATCTTGCTTGTTTTTCATGCTCAAGTTATAGTGCAGGGAGAAGTGCTTATGAAGGTGCTGTGTCTGTACAGTTAAGGCTTCATTTCAGTGAAGGATGGATGTACTGGGCCAATACAGAAAAGTCAAAAAGTCCTGTGGTATTCTGAGTATTGTTAGGTAAATAGGGGGAAATAAATGTATGAATAGTTTTATATCCATTCACATACTTATAATTTATATATATCTAAATAAAACAAGTATTATTTGGTAGTTTCTAAGTAAGATTTCTAAATGGAGAAAAACAGTCATGATTCTGAACTTATCCTACTGGCTCAGAGCCATGGTAAGAAAACAGAGAAAAAGTGGATGTGTTGAGCTCAGCATTTAAGTAGAGCTTCACAGGGCATAAATGAGTAACTGGTACTGAATGTCTCCTGCTATTTCCAACCTTAGATTTTGGGGGATGTTTTTTTCAAAAGAGTAAAAATGTACTGATTGAGAAGAGCACTAAAGAAGATAAGGGACCAGCAATGTTTCCTGTAACATTAGTCCCAGCACAAATTGCCTCAGTCCTTCCAAGTGGTTCCTGCAGCTCTGCCCTGCCCTTTATAGAAGAGTTTGGGCACATTAGCACGTGATGCCTTTGAATAGCAAGGGACAGCAACAGGCAGGAGGACAGCAAGACTAGAATGGCAGAATAGACACTGGTCAGACCATAAGAGGGGAAATGGGGCAGGAAAAGCAGTTTGTGCGGCAGATCAGGGCAGAATAATGTCAGAGTTTGGACACGGGGCTTTTCTTGGAGCCTATAATATATGTAACTATGTGCTAGTATTTGCTATGCTATTAAGAAATCCCTTACCACGTGTGCCTGTGCTGACGTTGCCAGCACCTTCTTTTTCTAGTTAGACCTGACTGGTTTTAGAAGTCTTTCAAAGAAAGTATGATGAGCAAGGCTTCAGAGTTGAGAAGTTTTATCACAGTATCAAAGGCTTTTGGCCGTTGAGTCATGAGCAGTTGTGAGAATTACTGATGTGGAATGGATGGCTGCAGTTCTTTCTAAATTTGAGTATGCATTTGTTAGGAACTGGAGGTCTTTGTCACTTTGAAAACGTTTTTTCTAATGATATTCCAGAGCTTTATGGATTGTTGTTCATGAAGATCATCTTTACCTGGCTCAGCCCATCAACGAGTGCAGTCCCTTGTGACTGGTTCATTGCTTGGAGAGTGTGTCCCATCACTATAACAGTGGTGTTCTCTTCCCAGAGTTCTTTGAAGAGTGCATCCGCAATGCTGAGCTGGAGGCCAAGATGCCTGTGATCATGAAGAACTCCGTGTACATCCACAAGGCTGCCACCCGCCGCATAAAGAGCTGCCGCTTCCGCAGCCGGAGAACCAGCGCTTCCTGGAATGACAGTAGGTATCAGGCAGCCTTCTACTTTATATCCTGCAGGAGAAGATATGTGCCCATGGGACTGGCAGAGCAGTAAAGTCTCTGCAAATGTTTGTATTTCATGTTCCTTAGCAGTAGAATGCAGCCACAATGCTACTTGGAGCTTTCTTTCCCAGAGAGCAGGCACTGAGCCTGTATACTTGTTGCCCATTTCTTTATATATGTTGAAAGCTAAACTTCTGTGATGGTCCTGTGATCGCCCCTAAAAAAACATACTAAAATATGACTTCATCAGAATGCCTAATCACAGGCTGAGTTAGGCTCAGTCATGTTGGTCACATGGCTTGTGAACTCTAGTGAAGCTTTATCTTTAATTTGTGTTCCTGATGCAGAGTGCTTAATTTTCTGTGCTGTTCTTGTTCCAGTGAAACAGTCACAGTCGTTCATCTTCTCACATGCAGAAGCTGAAAACATTGAAGAGCTGAAAGAAGCAGCCAAAAGACTGAGCCGGGACCAGCGCTTTAGGAAAACTATCTATCAAATAATGAGGTCACAAAAGGATTCTGCTTCAGGGGACAAAAAGTGACTCTTCTTGGGAGGGGGCTTCTGAGCTCAACCTGCTATTCAGCTCTGCAAAAGTTACAGCCTTGGGCACTAGGCTCAGAAGGAAGATTGGCATTTGGTGGGGAAGGTGGGGGAGAGGTGTGTGTAGGCAATCCCTTCAGTTACTGGCTTTGCTTTAGTTTGAGTGCTCCCTGCAGCCTGGCAGACCTTCTCTGCTGATCACTCCAGGCCTGTTTGCTTCAGCTGCTTGCATTAAGCCATGTTTTGCCAAGATGCCACAGTCAGTGTTAAAGTGAACCAGAGACTGTTGCTTAGGAAGTGCCTCTCTTTCTTTCCCCGTCTAGTCTGTCTGCCAAACACAAGTGCTTCTGAGGAAACCTTTAGCAGCCTATGTTCCAGCTTGTGTAATCTCCTCAGCTGAGCACAGCTCACCCTGTTCTGCCTGATTCCCCCTAGGAGTTAGCTCACTGCACACCCTCAGTCAATCAGCACTTCGGTGGGGCACATTTCCTGAAGACTGCAGCAGTCCCAGCCTCCCAAGCACAGCCAAAAGTATCAAACACAGGGCCAAACTTTTTGTCTTGATGCTACGTCATTTCAAGCAAACATCAACAACACAAGGTGAAGACAGCCTGGAGGATGCTGTGGATTTGGGTCCAAGGAGGATCATGTACGGAGAAGAGCTTATAGGTAACTCAATGGCATCAATGCAAGCTGGAGGGAGAGTTCTGTTGTGTTGATGGTGGGCAGAACATTCTAGGGCCACCTTTGCACATTTTTTGCACTGGGACATCTAGCTGTCAGAACTAGGGAAGATGTTAGCTATTGGCTATCTGTTCCTCAGTGTGAAGAAGCCTTTGACTCATTTTTGATGGCTTCCTCAACACCTCTGTAAAACAAGTTGGAGGGCAGGAGGGTGAGGACTGTCCAGCAACAAAACCCACTGCCACTTCAGGCAAGCTGTAAGGGTTGTGGGAGAGGAGTACAGGAGAGGAGTCACTTTGTTGTGGAACCCCTGAACCCCTTGCAGCCTCCCCCATCTATTTTAGCAGTTGGTTAATAATTACCCATGCTGTAGAAGCAGCACTGCCTGGTGCTTACAGAGCACAGGATAAGCACGCTTGGAGTGATGCCCTGTTTTCTCCTGCATATTAATAGGGAAATAAATAAACTGACAATATAAAAGTGAATAAAGTAAGCAGCAGAAGTACAGTTAGGGGTTAGGGTAAAGTGCAGATATTATGTATGTCCAGTGACACACAGGTATTTGCTTGTCATTGTCCCAGTCAGACTGTGACAGTGTCCACTCACAGCCTTTGGCTTCTGGCCACCTACATAATTCCCTACCAATTTAGTGTTCTTCCTAGGGATAAGTCAAAGATGAGGCTGGAAAGCAAGCCTTGGCTTACCAGCCAGCAGAGAGGGGTTAATGCTGGGTGGAGGAGCATCCTGTGGCAGTGTGGTGCTCCTGGATGGAATCACTCTAGTGTGACCAGAGGAAAAGCTTTGAAAGCACAGCCCATACTTCCCATTTTAGTCAGTTACTGGCTAGTATCCTTCTGCCAGGCGTTGGGAGGTTTCATCCAATCAGAGGATCCAGTTCTGAAGGAGGATATTTTTGTGATGATAGGTGATATGGTAGGAGAAGATTGTTCCCATTCTTCCTTAGCATACTTGATCCTTCTGTGGTTTATCTGCTTGTGTTTACATGCTAGAAAGTCACAAATGAATTCTTGCTCCTACAAGGCTGAAGGGCTGTGATAAAGCAATACAGAAATGCTTTTTCCTTTATGCTGTTCCCAAATCATCTCTGGCTATTTTCCAGTTACAAGGTCTATATATATTAGGTGATGCTGGAAGGGACAGAATAAAGGATAGCTAGGGAATGCATCTGTAATTCAGGCAGTTAGGAAAATTGTGGCCTGTGAATACAGCATTTTCATTCTATTACCATCAAAGCCACAATATGTGACTCTTCAGAAATATTGTATGCAGGAGGTAGCCACATCAGGTCTTCCTTTACTGTGCATATTGACAGCAATAAGTAAATAAAATTTATGCTGACACTAGAATGAATTTCTGTGTGTTCTTGATACACTGTCACCAAAATTATGTTAAATTGTCTCCGCAGGATTTCAAACAAATCATTGTGACACTCATTTACTGCCAGTGCACTTCCTCTGCTTCACTGAGTTGTTGTGTTACGTGCTTTACATCGCCTCTCAGAAGAATTGAGTGTATGTAAAAAGCTTTCACCCTCGCTACCCACTTCTACTTTTAAATTGTGCAAAAAGTTAAAGCAGAATGTATCACATCTGAAGTAGAAAGTTCCCACTTGCTTAGCTGAAGTCAGTGAACAACTCTCTGTGTAACCAGCAAGATGTGCCCTGAGCCACCTGTGAGGAGGTGCTTTCCATCAGTCATTCCCTGCTGCACAGCAATCTACTACCCTGTAATCTCCCTGGCAGAGCCAGCACGGAGCTGTGTCTGTGCACCACAGCATCTAAATTAAGTGACTGTCTCCTTTCAAAGGACACAGAAATTACTGATTCCAATGTTCTCTGCATATTTTTAACGCAATGCAGTAACAGGAAGATGGCTTAGGAAGCTCACCTCTATTCAAATACCTCCATTAGTAATCCTAGATTGCTTTCTTCTGCTGGGAAAACTGGGAATGAGGTAATAACTTCCTCCAATGAGAAGAGTTCTCTAACTTGTTCTCTTGTGCCTGAGGATAGAAGAAAATACAGGGTGGTTTGCACCTTTAAGATTTCACTTCAGGAGATGCAGAACATCTAGACTGGCTCTGAAAAGCCTGTGGCCGTTCTTCATCATCTTCGCATTCTGGGTAACACCTAGTAACTTCTTTTCTCTCTGAAGATGCTCCCTGTTGCTCCTGTCCAGAGACACTGCCAAACGTGAAGCATGCTGATTTGCTCTGCATTGTCTTGGCTACTTTTCACAGTGTGAAGGATGGACACTATCAAAGGTTCAATTAACTAATTTAAGGATTAACATCATCCTCCTTGTAAGATGCACAGGCTGTTTCAATCCCTAGTGAAGAAGAGTGGTTCCTGCTGGAGTGCCCACCACCCTAAGGCTTTGCTCTTGCACAGAAGTTAATGTCAGAGAAAGAAAGGCAGCCCTAACCCTGCTGCCCCCAGTCTGTGCTGCTTCTAAAGCAGAAAAGTGGATAAGAAATGGAAATTGCCCTTGGGGCCAGAAGTAGATAATGAAGGATAAATGGTTGCTGGTGCGTGTTGTGCATTGCTGTGCCTGGCACACAAGTGACATAAGCTGGTAGCGGTTTTCAGCTACAAAGTATGGCTTCTTTTTAGCTCCAGATAGTAGGCAGGCTTTCTGCTTGGGACTTAGTGTAATATTAGTGTATCTCTATGGAAATAAGATGAGAGATTTCCACAGGAATAGTCTGTTTAGAATTGTTTCAATGCAGTCACTTTTTGTGGTTGTTAGAGGGACAGAAGCTGGCTCATGTCGTACCCAGTAAGGAGAGGTTTGCTCCCAGGAAAGTGGCCCATGCTCTGAAGGTCTTGTCCAAGGCAGGGGCTTGCCTGGACACTCAGTGCTCCTTGGTTCTGGTGTGCCTGTGAAGGATGCATTAATTCTGGCATCTTCTTCCTCATGCACAAGGACAACTCTGCAGTTTTTTGCCTAGCCTGTGTACAGTTTTTTACCCACCTAGTCTGAGCATGGATTTGAATGGGTGAAATGACCAAGCAAGAGGAATTGTTTTAGTGAGTCACCTGAGAGCTGGATCCGAGGTGGCCTGTTGAACAAACCAGTGCAGTGTGTTTCTGTGTACTGAGACAACATCCCTTTTTCTATATTAAGTAACACTTTTTACTGCAAGCTTATCTCCACAACCAAAATGCAGAAAGATCCAACTCAGTACTCAGGACTGTGAGTCCTTCCTGCTCTTTGCAGGATACACTGTAGTGCTTGAACCAACATACAGATCGTACAGATTTTGGGTTTTATTCTAGTACTGGCAGATCTGGCACTTTAAAGGAAGAAAAATTATAAAGGCCATTTTGTGGGGTTAACAAAGGCACCTTTTGCTAACTCAGAGGTGTTGCAATAAATAACTCAGCAGGGTCATGTGCTCCTATTTTGCAGTATCCTGAAAAGTGCAAACCTTGCATTGCTTAAATTACTAAGTGAAGTCTGCTTACCCTTGAGTTCTTCTTGACTGCACCCCTACCTCAGACCTCTCTGTGGAAACGACCCAAGAGTGGCATGATATGTCCTCTCTTAGAGCTGCTCTTCTTATTGGTTTCTTCATCATTAATTCTGGGGTAGGAGAGAGCACCCTGTTTCTCCACACATCAGTGTCTGCCCACAGGAGGTACAGCCCCTGCCTCTCTGACATGAGGAAAATAGGTTCTGTTTTTTGTTGTGGGCTTTTGTACCTAAGTTCTGCAAAACAGAAATTAATATTTTTGACATCTCCAAGTTAATAAGGGGGTTTGGAAACAAGCTATTTGTGGTGGGTGTGAGCAAACTGACTCCCTGCAATGGAATTAGGCCCTGTTCAAAAGAGGTTCTGGCTCTCAGCCTTGATGGAGTAAGGCTGGAGGCTTGTGTCAGTCACTGCTGGAAGCACAGCCATGACCAGGGCGATAGCATGTTTGGCAGAACTCTGTCTTTGGGACAGCTCACAGAGCATTCAAGGTCCCTGGGTGGCAGAGATGGGTTGTGCTTTATGCTGTGCACTAATCTTACCAGCAACAAAAATGACATAGCAAGAAGGTGAGAGTACTGTGGTTTTTGTAGCAAAGTAGAGGAGCAGGCTTTCAATGCAAAAATTGCCAGAGATTGATTGGATTGTAACTTGCTTGGGAGTAGCCACCATTTTAATTTTTCCTTTTCTTTCCTGATTCTGCCAAAGGCACACCACATGCTCGTTGTAGGCAGCTCAGGGGAGCTGGAAAGGTTTTGAGTATCTAAACATGTGCTGGAAGATATTGGAAATTCCTGTAATTCTTGAGGAGTTTGGATGTTCAGAAACTCCTCAGGCCTGGAGCAGCAGCCCTCTAGATCCCTCTCTGATCAAGTGTGTGGTACTTCAAAGAGATGCTGCAACCCATGAAGGGATGTGGGGAATGGCAGTGAAGGCTGCTTTTCTTTCTGCTTCTTCTCCTAAATTTCTCTTGTAGTGGTTTCCTCCCTTACACAAATGCAGATCAAGTGTGGTTTAATGTGGAACTTATTTTAGATTAAGAGAAAGAATGTGCAGGCAGAGCTATATTTCCTGCCTGTGTAGGGGGAACGTGGGCTCCAAAATGAGGACAGAAAATTCTCAGCCATTCAAAGGTATCACAGATGGGTAAAATAATTGTGCTTATCACAGATATCAAGCTTGGATAAGGGGGATTAGTGGGATACACTGTATTTGAAGCTTGAAGCCTTGCAGTAAGGGAAAATGAATTTTTTTGGTGAAGGAAATGTTTTAGTCCCTTGCGCTGGTTGATGCTGAAGGAACTAGAAGAAAATGTGCACACTTAGTCCATTTTAGCATGTGGCTGGCTCCTGGTGCTGGCATGGAATTAGTTTTGATGGCTGCTAGCTACACAGAAAATCCCTCCAGCTGTGACCAGCTGCTGCTGAGTTGTAGCCTTGCTCAGAAACAGTGGTGGTGATTGTGGATCCAGGGAGCACCCTCAGACGTGGATGCCCCAAAGGATGTGCATGATACCTCTCTTGAAACACTCACAGCATCTCCACATCATGGGAGCCTTTGGCTTCTCCTTGCAAGTGGGCATGAGCTCAGCTTGCAGCTCTGCTGCCACCCAGAGCAGAGAGCCCCATGCCCACAGCTTGAGCTGTTCCTGCCATCCTGCTCCTGCCCGTTGGATTCCAGCATGCTGAGGCAGACCTTGCCACCAAGATTCCAGCAGCAGAATGGAAGGAAGCAATTTAGTGAGCCAGCCTTAGGAAAGGCTACTGGGAACAGGGGTGGGAGCTGTTCTAGTCCCTTCCTGAAGAGAGAAGAGCATCTCCTGATCCTGGCCCCCATGCTCTGCTGTGAGCACCTGGTTCAGCTCCTAAGTGCAGCCTGGCTGTCAGGGGAGCTGTGTGTGAGCTCTGCTTCATTCCCAGACCAGGGAAAGACAGAAGGGTAAGAAAGAACTGTTGCTTTCTGGGTAAATAGGAAAGAAAGATCTGTCCTACCAGGGAAGCAAAGAATAGCTGTTGTGGGTAGAACTCTGCAAAGGAATGAAGTGTCCTGAAGACAGGAGGGAACAGACCTGAAAAATGCTTCTGGGCTTGGTTCTGGTGCACTGCCCATAGCCAGAGTTTCCATCCTGTCTGTGCTTGAAGAGGATCACAGAGCTGGCAAACAAATATTGCTTTACACAGTCAGTGAGTATACACCCTGCTCTGTCTATCCAGCTCTCCCTAGCTTTGAACTGGATTTCAAGCTGGCTGTTCCTCACTTTCCCCTCCAGGCTGCTCCTTCAGCTTTCTGTTTATTCTGCTTTGCTTAACTGGGGCTGTTTCCCCAAGGTGGAAATTAGCCTCACCCTGGTAGGGTTTGCAGCACCCAGGAACAGTGGGAGGACAGTTCTGCCATGGTGGAGATGGGGGGGGAGGTGGGAGCTGCTCTCTTTGGAGTGCAAAGGAGGTGAGACACACCCTCATAGCTGCTCATGCTATTTTCATAACACTAGCTTCCTGTCTAGGAATATTATTCATCCTGATCCAAAGTCTTTTCGACTTGAGCATTTCATGTAGAAAATGCACAGCAATAGGCAGTGAACACCCTGGGCTCTTAACCTCCCCTCCCTGCTCCACAGCCCAGGGGGCCACATGTGGGTACAGAGCTGGGCAGGGTGGTGCTGGGTGTCCCCTCACCTCGGACATGCAGCGTGAGCCATTTTGGAGTCTTTGTGCCAGGTCCTGTCCCAGTGTGTTTCACACAGGCAAGGGGCAGGCAGAGGAACCTGTCCCCTCCACTGGACCTTTACTCAGACGAGTTTTTAATCTATTCAAACAAATATTTCATAATCATTTGTTTATTTTTATTTTTATTGTTTTAGCTGAAAAT